GCCCCCTCTTCTGGGCTCCTGACTCTTTCTGCAGTCTTGTACTGGTACTCCTCGGCTTTCTCCTTCTTACTGCTGTTGTCTTTCAGCCACACCCCTGGTCTTATGATAAGGGCGAAAAATCTTTACGGTCCTGTGTGCAAGTTGTGCACGTTAAAGAGCCCCGGGGGGTCCTAAAATTGATAAAAGTAGTCTTCGGGCAAAATTCAAAGTTCCTACCAAACTGAAAATGTTTAATATGTCCCACGCGCTCATATTATGACCTAATGCAGTTGTGAGCGCCATGAAACACTTACCAAAGCAAACAAAGAACATTTTTGTGCGACCAAAACGACAAGAATTAATTTTTTTTAATGCTCGAACCTGTCATAAAAGAGTTTTACTCGTGAGAGGCCGGTGTGAGGGCCGTGAACCCTATGTCGAGAGTGGCACCATCAGACCTGAGGAAAACACCCACGGGATGCTGCTGGTTCGTCTTTTTTTTTTTGGTCTTTTTTTTTTTTGTTACAGGAAATCACTAGAGGATTAAACGTGCCTAGTTTTTCTCTCGCAAATTTCACAAGGAGTGAACCCTACCTAGAAAAGTGTGTCCTAGAGATACACCTTGCAACGGAACTGGGCTTTGAAATACATGTCGCACGCCATGGCCTCCATCAATACAAACGTCCTGTTTTGGTTTGCAGAATATTTGGAAATATTCCTTGGACATAAAGGGGGGAGGGGGGGGTAAGGGAGGTGAATAAATTCAAATAGTTTCAAAGTTGGACTCTGTGTAAATCACGGATGCTGCGTTGTTTGAAGAGCGAAGCAAAAAGCAAAAGCTGTCAAGAACCTTTCTCTTGAAATCATCGTGGGTGGTTGGCGGGTGCTCTGGTGTGGTGTGCTTCTTTCCTGTCAAACATCTATCGTTCTTATCTCTTCTTCTGTTTTCGTGTTTCTTTCTCTCTTGTAACACCTCTAATGTTCGGCATTTATATTTATATGACCTAATAGTGTGGTATGTGTTATAAAATAGGACAAATATCGTTAGTTTCTATCACACAATACATTTCTTTTTATTTCTTTATGTCCTTATTACATGTATAGCATTTTATCGAATTGACCCGAGCAGTTTCTTTCTTTTTTTCCATGTTCTTATATTAGCATTCTTTGCATCTTTTGAACTAACGCTTTTTTCCCTTTGTTATGCTTTTATTTAAATATTTTGGCTATTTTTATCAGGGAATCGTGACATTTAGGGGTGTGGAAGTCTTATATAAACCTCTGGACACAGATTGTCAAATATCTTTGACAAAGAACTTGAAGGTGAGTTGGAAAAGTTTCGTAATCACTTTTTGTTGTTTATAGACATCTTTCTTTAATTAATCTATTGCTTCAAAAATAATTTTCGTTCGAATGACAGCTTTTTTCAGCCTTTTCATCCTTTTAAAATTTTGATGGTCAAATGACTTTGCTCGAAAACGAAGAACAATTTGGAGGGTATCGTGAGAAATACCTTAGCCATTTTTTAAAAACTGGACTTCCTTTCAAAGTACATTCTCTCAATTACGTTTCAAAGAGAATTTCTGTTGGACATAAAACATTGATGGTGGGTTTTTTTCTCTTGTATTCTTTTGGGAATTTTCCCACTTTCAAAACTTGGAAATGACGACTTTAATATTTTTGTTGGATCTCTTAAAGTAACCAATCAATTGGTATTTTTTTAAGTCACTATTCAAAGCTGTTCTGTAGCAGGGATAAGGGAATGGTGGCAAAGCATTGATTTGAGTTATAAAATCCTCTCTTTGCTTTCTATATTGAAAAAGAAAAATTTTTAAAACAAAACGAAAACGTTGCTGCCCATGCGAGCATAAAAGAAGAAGTGAAATGCACCATTCTCGGTATGCCTGAGTGCGAAGGAAACATTTCCTTCCGTGCCCATCGTTTGGTTCTATAATACAGTCAAAATAATATTATAATAA